CACATTTTGTAAAAAGGAAAAGATTTCTTCTCTTTAGAGTTTTGTTTTTTTCTTTTGTACGCAGAGAGGGGAAAAAGTTGTGTGCGCGGATTTGTGGCGCGTAAGGGACCGGTCCGTCAAGGTGCCAGCCAGCTCAAGGGAGGCACTACACACGCGCGCACGCTAGCGTCTAAGGCCGCCATCTTGGAAAAGCAGAGCCCCTGGTGAACACGCAGGATTTCTTTACCACCCTCCAACAGCTTATGGCTGGGTTTAAAAAAAAAGAAAATGAGCGTTAAAAGAAATAGGAGTTGAGCTATATATAATTACGTGTACAAAAAAAAGAGAGCAACTCTTACCGGTTTGATGTAGTCCGGCATGTGGAGATGGATCATCATAAGTTCTTTGTGATAGTCGGCGGCACACAATCTCGGCACGGCGACGGAGGACTGGGTCACAGACTATCCAAGAGGTCGGCCCGTCGGAGTGTGCGCGCATGCGCGTCGTTGTGCTTGGGGTTTGGCCTGCCCCCGCCAGGCAGGGACATTTTGAAAATTTAAACCAAAAGCCCCTAAAAAATTTATCATCATCCGGCACTGTCTGCTTGCCTTTTGTGTAGATTATAGTTTTATATCACAGACTCAATTGACGTTCTTATACACGTTGTCACGTGTTTGTTTTTTTAAAAAAACGCTTGGATCTTTGAAGTCCCGTAAGATATCGTATCGCGTTTTTCTCGAACGTTTCGACCACACCTTGAGGAAACGGCAGTTCGGCACAATGGCGGCGGTTCTCGGTTTGGACTGCGCCATCATGGCGACCGGTCGGAAATATAACGTTGGGGTAGACACCGACTCATATCACGATGAAAAGTATTTGAAGTACTTACCGAGCCCCTTTCTCCGAGAAGAAGTTATCCGTTTGAGTTTTGTCAGTGAGACAGACGTTCAGAGAATGTTGGAGCACAGAGAAGTGGCCAGGATTAAATGAGTGGGCTGCTGCTACTGCTGCTGCTTCCCCTCACTGCTTCCCCTCTCTGCTGCTACTGCTGCTGCTTCCTCCCACTGCTGCTGCCGACTAATGTTGGGGGAGG